ACCCACGATGCCCTACCGTCTACTTCTCCCCATCAGAACTAAGAGACTACCGTCGGGAGTGGCGGTCGGCACTGGTTGTGAAGGTCTTGGGGAGGTCCTTCCCCTACCCTGTCATGGCTAAGAGATTAAATATGCTATGGGCAAGACACGGCTCGATTCAGATCACGAACAGAACCAATGACTACTATTTCATCAGGTTTACGAGTAAACTGGACTACGAAGCGGCACTAACGGGTGGACCTTGGCTTATAGGAGATCATTATATCACTACCCAGAAGTGGAAAAAGAGCTTTAACCCCAAGACCTAAAAGATAGCCTCGACCTTGGTTTGGATTCGCTTACCTGACTTGCCGATTGAACTCTTCAACCCAAGAGCAGTCATGCGTATAGCTGCACGAGCAGGAACCCCAGTGAGAGTTGATAGAGCCACAGAGCTGGGTGCGAGAGGTGTCTATGCTAGGGCCTGCATAGAGGTTGATCTAATGAAACCTCTTCTTTCTAAGTACAAGGTGGGCGGGGTGGAGTATGAGATCAATTATGAAGGCCTGGATAATGTCTGCTTTGAATGTGGTATGTACGGACACTCCAAGAATGCATGCCCTACGTTACACTCGAAGGAACACACCCAAGGAACACCGTCTGGTGGGAACCCAAGCGAACAAGCCAAGCACACAGAGGCTTACGGAGAATGGATGATCGCCAAACGGAGAGAGAGGAGACCAAATAAACGTGCAGATCAGGGAGTAGTGGGGAACCCGACAGGGAGAAAAGCTTCGCGAGATGGGAACGTGACTCTGGGTTCGAGATTTTCTGTGTTGGAATGCGAGGACGCCGGTAGTGATACAGTGCCAACAAAGGAGACGGAAATGGATGAACGAGTAGTGGGCAAGGAGAGGGGAAAGGGTGTTGAGGGGGAAAAGACTACCAAGGCCAAGGTCCCAACACAAAAACCTCAAGCGATCTGGGTGGAGAAAAATACATCCCAACAACAACCTCATGAGGAGGAACAGAATAAAGAAGGGGAGGTGAGCACCCCCTCTGAGACCCGACGAGCACCATTTGATCAGGGGGCAGTAGGGGGCATAGCTAAGGGCTGGTCACAAAATAAAGAAGCAGGAAACAAGGGTAAGAACAAGGAGGGGCTAGCAAAGGATGGGCAATCAGCGAGAGATATTACCCCTTCCTCCAGTACCCGAGAAATCGAGGGACGAAACAAGGCTCCAAATATCGTGGAGACTGGAGGAGCCAAGGATGGGAAGGGACATGGCCCAGATGCAATGTACCCCATACAGCAGCCGCAGGACACGAGCCTATCAACGAGAAATGCAGTACCGGGGGGGACAGCCCTCGAGAGCAGAAAGCGTAGGGACCCCCCCGGGGGTGTCTACGACTCACTAGTAAAGAAACCAAGGGTACCCTACGTATTCCCATATACGATGGATTTGAACATATTCTCATGGAATTGTAGGGGTGCGGTAGGCGATAGCTTCTTGCGAGTCTTTAAGGAATATAAACGCAAGTACAGACCACACATCGCCATCATTGTTGAGCCTAGAATCAGTGGGAGTACAGCGAAGCAAGTGATCAGTCAGCTGGGGCTGGATCAGAGCCTAGTGGTTGAGGCAGTGGGTTTTTCTAGTGGTATCTGGCTACTTTGGGATTCAGCGTCGGTTCAGATTACAGAGGAGAACCGTACAGGCCAGTTGCTGCATGTTACGGTCAGGGAAGGTCAGGGGCAGTTTCTCTTATCGGCAGTCTACGCTAATCCTGCACTTGTTCAGCGACGGAAGCTCTGGGCCTCGATTAGATCGATTGCGGAGGAGAGCACTATGCCATGGCTACTAGCAGGGGACTTTAACTCAATGTTGAGCGCTTCCGACAAGTTTGGAGGAGCTCCCTTTGATGCTAGTAAGGTCAGGGACTTTCAGGAGTGTATCCTGGACTCCGGACTCAGCGATTTGGGCTATGTTGGACCGCCATATACGTGGTTTAGAAGGGAGTGTGAAAGAAAGGCTGGATAGGGGGCTAGCTAACACAGAATGGGTGGTCGCCTTCCCGGATACCACTGTACGGCATCTCCCCAGGATCAAGTCGGATCATCGACCCCTCCTCATTCGGACAAGTATGCCTTTAGTAGTCCCGGGGCAAAAACCTTTTAAATTTCTCGCTGCATGGTTGACTCATGTGGATTTCGCGGAGGTAGCTCAGGCGGCATGGGAGAAAGGCGATGATTTCCTCAGCAGCTCCAGAGCCTTTGCCCAGGAGGTTAGCCAATGGAATCACTCGACTTTCGGACACATTCTCAGGCGGAAGGATAGTCTTTTGCGGCGGATTGAAGCTCTAGAGGTACGTGGGGGTGGCGACTCAGATCACCCTGCCATGACGTCCCTCCGGAATGAGCTCGAAGAGGTGCTTGTGCAAGAGGAAGTTTTGTGGCTACAGAAATCACGAACAGAATGGACGAACTCGGGAGATAAAAATACTAAATACTTCCATACTAGAACGTTGCGCCGGCGGAAGAGGAATAGAATATCAATGTTGAAGGACCAGCAGGGAAACTGGGTGGAGGATCAGAAGGAACTAATGAGTTTGGCTTGTTCATTTTATGAGACACTGTTCACAGATGAGGGCAATCCCTGTTTACACATACCACATCTCTTCCCTAGCAATGTGCAACAGGAGGCGGGTTCACTAGGGGACTCGTTTACGATGGAGGAACTCCGAAGTGCGGTGCATAGTATGGGACCGCTCAAGGCCCCGGGATTGGATGGCCTGAACCCCCTATTTTTCCAAAAATTCTGGGACCTAGTAGCACCGGCGGTAACAGAGTTCGCGGAGAAGTGCTGGGTGTCACCTGAGACTATACGAGAAATAAATGAAACAATTATAGTGCTCATCCCTAAAATTCCCCGGCCGATTCAGTTAGAGCAGTTCAGGCCAATAAGTCTCTGCAATGTGGGATACAAAATCATTACGAAGTGCCTGGCGGAGAGACTTAAGCCTTTTATGCCACGACTAGTGCATGAAACTCAGACGAGTTTTGTACCAGGACGACACATAACTGACAATATCTGTGTTTTGCAGGAAGTGGTTCATTCGATGAGAGCCAAGAAAGGGAAAAGAGGTTGGATGGCGATTAAAGTGGACCTGGCAAAGGCGTATGACCGCATTCGATGGAGTTTTGTCCATGATACTCTCCAGGCGATTGGGTTCCCGGCGCAGTTCACGGAGCTAACTATGAAGTGCATTTCAACTGCCAGGATGCGGATTCAATGGAATGGCGGCTTGACGGAAGAGATCTCCCCATCTAGAGGACTGCGGCAAGGATGTCCCCTCTCCCCGTACATCTTTACATTGTGCATGGAGAGGTTGAGCCATTTAATTCGGCAGGCAGTGGAGGAGGGTAGATGGCAGCCGATTAAACTTGCAGGAACAGGGCCCAGCTTATCCCATCTATTCTTTGCTGACGATCTTATCTTGTTTAGCTTTGCTGATGATTCACAGGTCCAGGTCATAAATGAAACCTTTGACAGGTTTGGGGGAGCTTCTGGGCAACAGATTAGCAAAGCCAAGTAGAGAGTGTACTTCTCCGGGAATGTCCAGGCTAATCAAGCAACGAGTCTCAGCAATGGGTTGGGAATCCCGGAGACGAAGAACTTGGGAAGGTACTTGGGTGTTCCAGTAATACACGACAGAGTGTCCAAAGCAACTTTCCAGGAACTCATCGACAAAATTGATTCTCGACTAGCCGGTTGGAAGGTCTCCACCCTTTCACTGGCAGGGCGTATCACCCTAGCTCAGTCGGTTCTGGCCTCCCTGCCGTCGTACACGATGCAGACTACTCTGCTACCTGCTAGCGTACGAGACTACATTGATCGCAAGATGAGAATGTTTATTTGGGGAAGCTCAGAAGCTGGCCGGAAAATTCATCTACTAGATTGGCACACTCTCTGGAAACCGAAGGAAGAGGGCGGCCTGGGTATGAGGGAAGCTACAAGAATGAATGATGCTTTTATGCTAAAGATTGCTTGGCGATTAATGACTGAACCGGACAGCTTGTGGGCGAGGGTGATTCGTACCAAGTATATTTGGATGGTCGGGGGAAGGGAGCAACCCAGAACCTCCGGCAGGTTGTCCAATCTCCGGAGAGGGGTTCTCCGCGTGCTGCATGTGCTACCTGATGCGATCATGTGGAATGTTCGGAGCGGAAGACAGACCAGGTTCTGGATGGATAGATGGCTTTCTGATGGTCCGCCCCTCATGGATTTGGCGCCGGGACTACCAGAGGAAACCAAACCCATTACGGTGGAGAGATGATCCTCAACCAGGATTGGAATTGGGACTACCTACGAGCTTTCCTCCCGCCGCACCTGGTGGATCAAGTAATGCTCCATGGCACACCATCAGAGACGGAAGTCGACGAATCGGTGTGGAGATTTACGGCTGATGGTAAACTTTCTCTCAAAACTGCCTACGATTTCCTCAATGATGCGACTGACCCAGAGGATTTACATCCTATATGGAAAATGGTATGGAGGACCCCGACCACTCAAAGAATAAGGTCCTTCCTCTGGTTGGCGGCGCATGGACGATTGCTCACGAATGGGGAAAGGAGGCGACGCCATCTGACGAGCTCGGATGCATGCCAGGTGTGCGGCAGTGATGGGGAGTCGACCATCCATGCCTTGCGTGACTGCTCCTATGCAAGGGCTGTATGGTCGGGCTTTCTAGAGGATGAGCCTGATGAGTCGTTCTTTCGAGCGGATGAGAGGGGATGGTTGTTGCATTATCTCGCAGGGAAGAGTGAGAAACTTAGCCCCGTCATTTTTGTTGTTGTGTGCTGGATGCTTTGGAAGAACAGGAACACCCTTGTATTTGAGGAGAAGCTGGCGGAGGTGAGCACGTTGCAAGCCGGGGCGCGGAGAATGAGTACCCAGATAGAAGAGGCCCTTGCTAGGGATCGAACCCCATGGGGGGGAGACAAGCCAAAAACATTAAAGATGATAGGATGGGAGCCACCTGAACCGGGATGGTGCTGTGCTAACACAGATGGATCAGTAATTCTGCCGATTCAAAGCTCGACGGCGGGAGGTATTATTCGGGATGAGGCAGGCAGATTTAGAGAAGCATTTTCAATGAATTTGGGTGGAGGCTCGATTACCCACGCGGAGCTGATGGGAGTTTTACAGGGGCTAAAGTGCGCGTGGAACTTGGGCATTAGGAAGCTGGAGCTGCGAACAGACTCTCGCACTGCCCTGGCGCTGGTCACGACAGCAGCTCCTCGACACCCTCATTACCGGTCGGTCATACAAATATGTCGGATGCTGGAGAGAGATTGGGAAGTCCGGCTGAAACACACCTTCAGGGAAGGTAATGTTGTTGCGAATTTCCTCGCGGCGACCGAGCACCACCGGCCGTTGGGGACTCACTTGATCGGATCGCCTTGCCCTGAGCTTTGTCACTGGTTGATGTATGATCTTGTAGGGAGTCAAACTCCCAGACTTGTTCCTGTGTCTTAAGGTTGGACGCCCTTTGCGTCCGGTTTCTACCAAAAAAAAAATATATATTAAGTCTATCTCAACTTGTTAGCGATCATGTTGGGCCCATATTCAAGACGTTTAGGCATGTCATCACTCATAAAGTATTTGTGTTCATGCTAGGCAAACCCATGCATTGTTTGTTCGGACTCTTATTGTGCCTTAATTGGGTCGAGCCATACTAGTTGTGGACGGCCCAACTTGATGCCCAAATTATATGTGGGAATGCCCTTTGTTTCTATACTTCAATGGATTTGCTGTGCCAACTACTCATTGGAGACAATATTTATCCCTACAATATCCTTCGTCAGGTCAAATAGAGGATTCACCTTCCTAACGTATTTGACCCGACACATGAGCTAAATTTGTAGAGTTCGTGAATTAAATCATGAATTCTACAAGCTTTCTAAAATGTAATTTCCCGAAACCGTCGCCATTCCTTCAATTTATAACGTCTTATATAATTTTTCAAATCCGACGAATAAACCAACCTCATTTTTTTCCCCCACCCTTTATGAGCACCAAAGAAAAACACACACCCATCTCTCTACCTTCATCTTTTTTATGCATTTGCTTACTGACACACCCTTCAAATCATACGAAGAAATCTAGTATAACAAGATTCTGTTTTGAGGATGGACTTGTTTATCTGGAATTGGCACTCAGCTTTTGCCCTACGCATACCTTCCCATTCCCCATTTCCCATTTCCCTTCCCCATCAACCACGATGTCGACCACACTGCATCCTTCCTCCCACATATTAATTCACTCCCAAACAAAACAAAGAAGAAAAGGAAGGAAACCAAACCAGATCTATCTCCAACCAGATCCAACTCTCTACTCGTCTCCCTGGGCCCCATCCCCACAAACAGATTCCTCTCCTTAACTCGTTCACACCCCCATGGCCCATCTCTTAGTTCCCCTCCACCGAGCCCATTACCCCATCACCCATCCCCGAGCCCGCAGGCCCACATCCCACGTGGTCTCCGGGCCCTACACTCGAAACACAGCTCACCAATTATACAGCAAAAAACAACAAAAAGATGGGGGGAAAATGAGTTTGCGGTATGGCTAAGCCCCGTGCCGACGCGGCGCGCCCTGATTCGTTCCCACTCAGATTTCCCCCTGGCCCACCAGATAGAAGCTGTACCCATATACTCCCTCTCTCTCCACTGTGTGAAGCCAACAGCTCAGCCTTTACTCACCACCACAAAGTCACACCTCCCTTACCTTCTTCTTCTTCGCAGAATCATGGCTTCCAAGCTCTGCGACTCCTGCAAGTCGGCAACGGCGGCGCTCTTCTGCCGCCCGGACTCGGCCTTCCTCTGCCTCACCTGCGACTCCAAGATCCACGCCGCCAACAAGCTGGCGTCCCGCCACGCGCGCGTCTGGATGTGCGAGGTCTGCGAGCAGGCACCCGCACACGTCACCTGCAAGGCCGACGCCGCCGCGCTCTGCGTCACCTGCGACCGCGACATCCACTCCGCCAACCCGCTCGCCCGCCGCCACGACCGCGTCCCCGTCGTCCCCTTCTACGACGCCGTCGACAAGTCCTCCTCCTCCTCCTCCCCGGACGACGACGCGGACGCGGCGGCGCAGCAGCACCACCCGCCCTGCGCGCTCAACTTCCTCGACGACCGCTACTTCGCCGACGACGCCGCGGACGATGACGTCAGCAGGGAGGAGGCCGAGGCTGCTTCCTGGCTCCTCCCCAACCCCCCGCCGCCGGCAGGCGGCGGCAATAACAAGGGCGGCGGGGTCATGGACTCTCCGGATCTGAACACCGGCCAGTTCATGTTCCCCGAGATGGATCCGTACCTGGATCTGGACTACGGGCCCGTGGATCCGAAGATGGAGCCGCAGGAGCAGAACAGCTCCGGGACCGACGGAGTCGTCCCCGGCGGCGTCCACCAGCCTCAATTGATGAACGAGCACTGCTTCGACCTCGATTTCGCCGCCGCTGCCGCCGCAGTCGGATCCAAGGCTTTCGCTTACGGATACACCGCTCAGTGCTTGAGCCACAGCGTGAGTCCCCATCTCATCTTCGTTTCCCCTAATTTCGAATTTTTTTTACTTTCCGCATCTAACTAACTCCCGAATTTTCCGTATGCCAGGTGTCATCATCGTCGATGGACGTGGGAGTGGTCCCCGACGGCAGCGCGACGGCGGACATATCGAACCCGTACGGAAGAGTGGGAGGAGCCGGAGGGATGAGCACGGGAGCCGAGTCGACGGCGGCGGCGATGCCGACGGTGCCGCTGTCGGCGGTGGACAGGGAGGCGAGGGTGATGCGTTACAGGGAGAAGAGGAAGAACCGGAAGTTCGAGAAGACGATCCGATACGCTTCCAGGAAAGCCTACGCGGAGACAAGGCCCCGCATCAAAGGAAGGTTCGCGAAGCGAACCGACATCGACGTGGAAGCCGACCGGAGTATGTACGGCTTCGGCGTCGTGCCGTCGTTCTAATAATTACCCCCCTCTCTCTCTCACTCAAGAACGTACGGACGATCCAGTAATAAAGAAAGGAACTAGTTTTGTTCTCTCCTTTTCTTTTTTTAATCTTTTCCTAATTTTTGCAATTTCCGTTTTATATTTTTGTGTTTTTACCGCAGTTCTAATTTCTAGGGTGGTGTTTGGGGGGCAAGAATTTAACCGTGGTGGGATGTGTATATAGAAGGAAGATGGGGGGTAAGATGTTTGTATTGTATGTAATTTTATAGCTGTTTGATCGGCGGGAATGTTTATAAATGACCGTTGATTTTGTGGTTAATCAGTTAATCTGAGATTAAGGCGGCCATGGCCATTGGCCGCATTTTTGTTTAGATGATGGTTGATTCTCACGTTGCTACTAGGTCATTCATTATTTTATCTTGTCGACGAAAAGGAATGCTGCTTTTTGGAATTACGCAATGATTTGGATTCGGAAGAATTTTCCTCGTTATTCTTCAATCGACTAAACAATGGTTTGACTGTGAAATTATTGGTTTGATAAGGCCGGGATTTAATAATGGACTTTTCTTCGCGTGAATAGTTGGGCCTGTCCTGTTTTCTTGGATGAGATTACTTTGCAATTGTAGCTTCTTTCACCTACTTGTGGGGTCAATCCAAATTGATCGTTGTGTTGAACTATGACTCAAAAGATTAGAAGGAACTAGGGATGGCAAAAAAAATTGTAATTGTGGATAATCACTCGAATCCGACTTAATTGGGTATGGGTAAAATTTGAATTCGAAGGTTTTTTAGTGGGTACGGGTAAAACTCGAACCCGAATATTATGGATAATGGGTGGGCATGGGTTCCTCACTATCCAACCCAAACCTGTCCGATTATACACATGCCTATTTATTTTGTCTAGAAATAATCATTATTCTTCTCTAACATATTTTATATGTAGCAGATAAATATTATAATATTCTCATGAAATTGTGTTGTTTCAATTAAATTTCTTCATTCTAGTGGCTTATTATCATACTTTGTCTCTTACGTAAAGTGAGAATACGTGTGAATGTTAACATATTGGTTGGAGTTATAAAGATAAATTATTACCTATGGATAACCGTGGATACCCGAAATCCGAACGGGTATGAGTATGGTTTCGATTTTCTACCCATTTCTAATGTGGGTATGGGCAGTGGCGGATCGAGAAATTTTATATAGGGGTGTCCTCTCTCAAAAATTTAATTTAATTAAAAAATAAATTTAATAATTTTTAAATACAAAAATATCCGATTAGTAAAAGTCACAATGAAAGTCAACGACATGTTTCGTATTATGAAAAAAATGATAAAATACATTCGGTGTTTACACAGCTCAACAAATCTCTCTCGATATATCCTACTAGACAAGGATAGTTCGTAACTGGATTTAATCGTTCGGTTTTGAAAATAATTGGGGATAATAATAGCCTTTTACCATTATATATGATCTAAAACATAACAACAAATAAGTTGTAATCTAATTCAAAATATATTTACTAATATTAGTAGTGTCTCAAGTTCAAATCAATAGACTACCACTTAAATAAACTACTACAGGAGGTTGAATAGTTTATTTTCTAAATTTTAAGAGTGTCCCGCTACAATTTAAATATGTTTTCCATCCGAAAACTACAATCGGAGGTTGGATAATGGCGTTTCCAAATTTTAGGGGTGTCCCAGGACACTCCTAAACATGCATGAATCCGCCATTAGGTATGGGTAAAACCCGAACTACATTGGGTAGGGTAACAGATATGCTCTATCCGTCCCGACCCGACCTATTGCCATCCCTAGAAGGAACCTCACTATTACATATGCGAAACCATTACCAAGATTGGAGACGAAAATTGTACATTACAAAGATTAGAGACAAAAATTGTAAAGAGTTTGTCGTCAAGAGTATGAAGAGATAATTTGCAACCCAGATTCAGGCAAATCTAGACTGCATACACGATCTGAATATTTTACATTCAGTGGTGAGTTGAGTTACATCATTACATGTATATCTGTTCTCTTTTCAGTACTAGAATTATATGTGTCAGACCTTTATGTATTCAATAATGCAAGAGGAAGTTCATGTATAAATTACGCCGAATCCTGGTCCACCTCCCGTCACCATTGATAAAACGGTGATTTTTTGGCCAAGTCTTTGGGATCACGTTCCTTTTCGTCGTCCTCATCCTTTCCTCCCGTCCCGTCTCTGCGTTGTACACAGAGAGAGCTGAAATCGAGATAAGAGAGAGAGAGAGAGGTGGTGGTGTAGATTCTGATGGAGTCAAGTCAGCTCCAAACACGGACAACGACGCTTCAAAGTTTAGAGCAGAAAGAAGAGAAAGAAACAAAGGAAGAGAGCAGTGAGTAAGCTTCTCTTCTGCCTATCTTTATCTCTCTCTCTACTCATCTCTTCTCGTGACCACCGGGACACCTAAGAAAGCAAGAAGAAGACAACTATGGCGTCTTGTCGTCCATCCTCCACCACAAATGTCACTCGAGAGCTGCGATAAACAAAGGCGCAGAAACGGCTCACCGCATCGCTTTACAACTACAGCCACAATCAAATATACCCACCTTCCGATCAACTTGCAAATGCTTTGCATGGTGAAAGGAAAGGATGCAGTTAACCTCAACCAAGCAAGAAACAAGCAGCCGCACCATTTACAGCCACAAAGTCTTACCTTTCTGTTGTAACACAGCCATCAATCCCGCACATTCATTCAACACAGAAAAAAAAAGGACGAACATTTAACAGCTTGTTGCAAGGTCCTAGCCAAAGCCAACAACTACTTACCAACTTCCCCCCAAATCACATTCTTCTTGTCCAGCAAGGTAAAAGGAAAAGAGAAAAAGTACCTCCCATGCCCAATGCTGTTCTGACTCTGTTCTAGTCTAGGAGGCTGGAACATGCTTTAATACACATGATGATCACCTCCTAGAAGCCCGAGTTCCGCTTCTGTTTCTGTTTTGAGACTACATATAGGGGCATACTACTTATATATTTCACGGGTTCGACAACACTAGGCTACAACAACTTTCCCCTCGACACTGAACTGAAACGATGCAGCCAGCGACTGCCCCCTAGTTACGTTGGTCTGTGTCTGGGTCAGGGGTGTGAGTGCGAGGTGTTGCCCGCTTGAGGAGGGTTGCTTCCTTGAGAGGTGGTACCACCACCGTGAGAGCGAGAGGCAGCCAAGAAGCGAACGACGACGCATGTAATGTTATCTGCACTGCCTCTCTGGTATGCCTCATGCAACAACCTCTTTGCCGCCTGCTCTGGGTCGTCGATGGGTTTCGTCATGTCAACAGCTTCCTGCAGTGAACACAAAAAGACCAGCCTTCAGATGCTGCTTTTGGGAAGAAGAAAAACTCAGGGTTTTATTTTTCCAGTCAATATAAGATAATTGAGGATAATGTTAAGCAAACCTCATTAGTTACAACGTCCCATAATCCATCACTAGCAAGGATGAGAAATTCAAGAGAGCTGTCAACTTTCTCTTCCTGCAAAAGCCAAACCACCCACAGATTTTTAAGTCAAAAGTGTGTAACAGCAATCTGACTATGACTGTAGGCAGCAATCAATATTTTACTCATATGATGAACAAAGACGATTCGGTTAATGAAGAAAGCCATGCACTGACGACACCAACACCAGAAATGAGCAACCCCATGCCAGAAACCAAAACAAGAAAAACGAACAAGCAACTAAATAGATCCACATGTAAAAGGACAAGGTGCTTGTACAAATCTTCAGTAACAAGTTACTCTTCCTATGTTCAGAAAGAGTACTAGGAAAATTAGGGGGAAATAGACTTTTTAATGACAAGACCTAAGCATTGAAAATCAAACCTGGATTTCTGGGTCAGCAACAACATACTGCTTCAAGAGCCGATCACCAAATGCCCGAGACACTGCAAGAACACCTCCAACTCTCCAGGTGCCTGCAATTTTTAATTTCGGAAGCTATGTCATAGGAAGATATTGACAAAAAAAAAAAGTGTCTCGTTGAAGTATAAGTAGCTACCTGCCCACATTACAAATCCTCCAGCATCCTCAATCCTTTGCCGTTCATCAGTTTGGTCAGGCTTATGATCTCTAGAAACAGCAATAGCTGCACAAAATAATTACAACATTGGTTACCTTATTATCCAAAGGCCATGACCAATAATAGAAGCATAAAACATCTCAAATACAAAAGAGGCAACATCTATTCCGCATTAGGATCCATATAGTACAACATATCCTTCGACCGCCAGAAAAACCAGCAAACCAGACACATCCATGGACAAAAAACAGTATGAAACAGGACATATCATTTCATAAATGTAGCACATTTGTACTTGTTTAAAGCTCTCAGTTATGACTGAACCTCTCGTTCCTGATTGTCAGTAATTGTCTAATATTATTATTAGCACAACGAAAAAAAACAGACAGAACTATAATGTGCAGCATGGGCACACATCTAACCAGCCATGGGGCCAGGAAATAATGAGAAAAGTCCAATTCAAGTCTTACCATTTCCACCCCGACAGATGACAGCTCTTGAGTCTCCAACATTGGCAACAAGCAGCCTATCCCCAACAAGGATAGCTGTGGAAGCAGTTGAACCAGCATCCCTATTCTGAGTATTTTCTGATTTGAGGAACTCTGAGTCTGTGTGGTTGTATGCATCAGCTGCAGGTGAAAGAGTCGAGAAAAAGAGAAACTAAGTTATCATTACGACAACTAATATAAAAGAGTGACATCAAAGCCTATCCTTTCCACTTAAGGTAGTCAAAGTACCTATAGCAGATTTGGTATCTGAAATGAACTTCGGGTGGTTGATCAGATTACTGAAAAGGTTTTGTTTCACATACTCAGCAGCTCTTGCACCTCCATGACCTGAAAGGTGATCAAAGAAGCTTATCGTTTATGAAATGCCACGACTTGCAGAAACATGAATTTCGCAAGTGGCAAAAATTAGATAACAAAAAAAATGGAATAAGTAAATATTCATGCAAAGAGTTGGGGAAAATGTTAGGATAATAATACCAAGTAGAATCAAGTTTCAGATACAAAATTTACTATATTCAACCCACAAGCGCCAGCCAACAGCAGTTAATGCATGACCGCAAGAAAGGAAATGGGCTCTTTTTAAAGGATATTCCATGTATAAACTAACATAAAAATACATCCGAATCCAACATTTCGGTGAACCAAAAACGGACAGAACAAAAACATCAAAGGACTCATTTATAATCAAAATACAAAAAAGTACACTCAGAAGAAAAAGAGAGGAAGCCAGACTAGAAAATATTGGATGACAAGGATAATAAATTAACGATCGACCGTACTAAGTGCCATTTCACACACATTAATAGACATCGCAGGATAAAATTATCCTAGATATCAGTCTAAACTTAGACTCTCGTAATAGGATCAAACAAATTACATCAGCCAAAATAAACAGGGCAAGAGGATAATATAACAGTTACCATCAAAAACTCCAAAAAGACCAACTATCTCCCCTTCAACACCATCAATTCTTGTTTCATAAAAGTCTTCCATTGAAGATCTCTTCCCTGGTGAGCTTGCATATCCATAGCTGAACTTTCCATTCTGACTGTCAATGAGGAAAAAGGTAAAAAAGAAGACAAACTTGGTAAGGTGGCTGGTAAAAGTTAATGAAAACATTTGATTCCATGCAACACTACCGCAGGGTTATTGCATCCAGCAATGAAGTCCTTATGTTAATGCTAGTGCTTAGCTGAAAAGAAGCTAACTGCATTATGAAAAGCCAATTCGGATCTGATCTTAGACTGTGAGTGACAAGGACCACACTAGTGTTTCCTTCACATTCAGCATCGCCACCAATGGGGTTCGGATGTTCTACACATATTGCATCATACCAGTATGACATAGAACGTAAAATAACTTATGCATTTGAAGTACTAAATAGCTTGTATAGCTTCATGTTGCCTAACCAAAATCAGTAAGTGAAAAGACAAAGTCGGTTACGCCAAATAATATAGCAGTTTCCAGATTCCCGGAACATATTATATCCACAAATGACTATAATACAAGTGTGGCGGACAATAAAACGTAGCGCGAGATAATTGCATCAGCAAACATTCATTTCCTCTCAGCATTAAACAAGTGTTAAATAACAGAACGTACGGACTGGAATGTACTCTACACTTGGAAAAAATCAAAACAAAGATCTCCAAAGGGGTAAACCGACAAACGGTATGTACGTCATCAGAAAAAAATGTCAGACATGCAGTGTGCATGAACCTCTTTCCCACAATTCTTGATTCCATTTTTTTCAGGAGAACAAAATATCAAGACTCCTAGGGCAACCTTTCCAGTTTCCACCATTCATTATTCTTTCTATCCACTTCTTTTGTAGGTTCTTTAAGACCCGTCCTAGTTAATGAAAATCATCACGCATAAGAAAGTGTATAAAGTCACCTTGTATGATCATTACACCTAAGAAGAAGGGAAGAAGTTTAAGTAAGACCTTGTAGACCCAAACACAAACCCTATGGAATAGAACCTGAGCTTCTTAACAGAGACTATCTCAATGAAAATTTTGTGCCTATCAAAGTAGACCATTCGTTCTTTCATATTTCTTCAGGAAGAACAAGCCATGACAAAATGCCCCTTCAAGAATAAACGACAATCTATTTGCTTATGCAAGGCCATATCATTCCAAAAGCAAACACAACGAAATGGAACGTACATTCTGATCGAAACCACACCAATAAATCGTTCTCTGGCCCCCTTTTAAGGGAGAAGAACCATAGCAGAAAGATCCCTCTATATGAAGAAATGAATCATTTGCAAACGACTCATAACCAATTGAAATGGCCATTACATCAAGGCAAACAACAACAACACCACAACCACGTAAGAGAATCCCAGACAAGGATCAGCAGGTCAAACAAACCACTTGAGCAATAATACACGACAAGGGTTCAGCCCAACGAGAGCACTATGACATAGATCTGAAGTCAATCATGTCGTAACAAACAACTGAGAAATGGATTGTTCAATGAGGGTTGCAAACAAACCTGAGACCACCCCCGCTTACAGGGCCATCCTCCGCATAAACCTGATTCGAAGACGAGAGCACCGAATTGAGATAACCCATGTCGCCGTCAACCCAACAAGAATCGACTTCACCAGCAATTATCCCCTTGATCGACACGAGAAATAGAAGAAGAGAGAAGAAGCGGAACACCACCAACAACAGCTGCAGCCGGTTCTGAAAACGATAGCCGATTAGTAAACCCCAGTTAGATTCTATTATTCTGTTGACATTTTCAAACAGCATCCTCGAGCTCCATCCTGCACCAACAATGACCCCCCCAAAATGTCAAACAAACAAACCCGGAACAAAACGCGATCAGGGAACCAAATCCAATGAACGAATCGGCATTATTGATAAAATCCCAACAGATAAAAAGAATCGAAGCGTACATGATCATGCAGGAGGAGAACCCATGATCCATGATTTGGGTTTTCTTTTATTCTTCTTCAATCAATCAATCAATCGGAGAAACAAACCGAGGGAGGTGGGAGAGTGAGTTTGTGAGATGGAGGTGAAGGGAAGGAAGAGGTGGAGAAATGGGGGGAAATGGCATAAGCGACAGCGAGGGAATTCAGGAGACTGCTAGAGAAAAATCGGGGTGCGGGGCGTAAGCAAAATTACCGAAAGAAACCCTCTTCCTCAGAAGAAAATATGAGAGAAGAGAGAGAGAAAGAAAGGGGCAAAATTGATGATGATGGTGGAGGTGGTGATTCTGTTTTTCAGTTTGGTTTTGGTCCGTCTTCTTCTTCCTCGTTCCATTTTATCATTTTATATGATATATTTTTTTTTTAATTCTCGGTGATTATTATGGCGCTGATTAGTGATTAGGTATATGATTAGTTTGGCAAAGTAACGCAAGGGAAAAAGAAACTAACAAAAAAACAAAGGTGTTTTAAGTAATATATAATTTACCTAACCAGAGTCACTCATTTTACCACCATCTGCATCATGATTAATGTTCTATATCGGGTAATAATAGCAATTAGCAAGTGTGGATGTGTTAATTTGATTGTGAAAATATTAGGCAGCTACTTCTCATATTATACAAGGAAGACATAACATATGAAGTTGATTAGAGCAGACGTAGATGGTATGAAACAGATGAATCAAGTACGCACTCGAGTACGCATAACGTACTTGTAATTTAAATTGACATTGAGTAGATTACTAATCATAAAAGGGAAGATCATAGTTACTTCACTACTCGTATCAGCAACAAGACTCTAAAATTGATGTCGATCGCGCCAGTTGTGCTCCTCGTGAACATTTCCTGCATGGGGTGTTCAGTTTACATTTCATCACTATTTTTTTTACCGTCGTACATGAACTAGAAATGGATCAGATAAAATGTAGATACTATATGGAATGGACAATCGACGAAAATACATGCACACGACACGGAGCATACACACATAATGCACTCGTAACTTGAATTGTCATAAAACATTTTACTCATAAATGAAACCTAGATCAACTTGCTTCGCCCTCGTATTAACCAGACCCTAAAAATCGACGCCGATTGGGCCAACGTGTGCTCCTCATGGGCGTGGACTGCATGGGCAAACCCCTTTTCCACGCTACCTTTATCGACATTCGATACTTCTTGTGGTGATTTAATTATTGGCTTTATCGATAGATTTACAACATCGTTGACATCGTCGTCTATATTTAGAGCTAATCGATTAGTGCTGAGAGTATTAAACTTGATCTCGTGGAACAATTAATAAATTGTATTTGACCCTGATAAACTATATAATGACTAATAAGATTCTCTTTGCGGGGTGTGATTAGTAGACTAGTAGTAATCACACATTTAATATACATGAACCAAACCCGACCAAAAAAGTAAAAAAAACAAAAACAAAGAGAAAAGAAGGAAGAGTTCGAGAAATTAATGAGACGAAGAAGTCAATGGCATTTTGCTTTACCCCATAAGTAAACAACAACAAACAAACACTGCGCCATCCCCCATGTCTCAAGAAGCTAAAGCTTCTCTCTCTCTCTCTCTCTCTCTCTCTCTCTCTCTCTCTCTCTCTCTCTCTCTCTCTCTCTCTCTCTCTCTCTCTCTCTTCTGTGCCAAAGTAAGTCGTGCATGCGTGTGGAACTTGCCTTGGACGTGGACACGTGGCCCTCATGCACCACCGCGTTACGTCACTTCCCGTCGTCTTCCTTCCTTCCTTCCTTGTACTAAATCCATAATAGCCCGTAACAGCTTCTCGCGGCCGGGATACGTTGCGGCCATTTCATCAGGTTAATTGTCGGTATCGACAAGCCACGCAACAGACTTCAATTGAATTTTGCTCCACCGGCGATCCGGCGCTTGGGGCGGCAAGGACGCCGCCGACTCCTTTCTTAGATGACAGTTTTGTTAGAAATGTTGTCTCGGACAAGGACAAACTAGGGCTAGCTATTAGATTCGGTTTTTTGGTTTTACTCGAAACCGAATCGTATAACCCGGATCGAGATCGGACTGGGATCGGATAATAAACAATTCAATCCAATTTTTGGGCTTAGATTTAAGGTAAAAAATCGTTCCGGACCGGATCGAAAACTGGATAAAGACCGGATAAGAGAGCTCAACACCCAAAACTTAAGGGTAATTTGCATAAACAGTCACAAACCTTTGCACTTAGTACAAAACTTAACCAACTCCTCACCCTTTCGGGCCTTAGGCCACTCAAATCCCCACAAGCTAAATATAAAATCAAGACCGAATTGGGACCGGACCGGATCAAGACCGAATTGTATTCAATCCAATTTTTGATCCTTATATTTTCAAAAAAGACCGGACTGGACCGGATCAATTTGGGCCAATTTAATCGGACTGGACCGTATAGCCACCCCTACGGACAACCAAGATAATGAGTTGGAAGAGATATATGACGGGCAACATTCCAAAATTTTAAGTATTTTAATCAACAAAATAGCTACAAAAATTATCGACGGTACGTAACAGACAAACAACTAATAATTTTGATGCTCTAATACTATGTGTTTCGAAATTTTTGATTAACCATTCAAAATAATAAAAAGGTATGACTAATAAGTTGTATTGCTTTTTGTTGGGCATGTGACTCGGATCACTCCCGCGCCAAAGAAGCACGCCAAACCGCACGCCACGACAAACACGGCGCGACACGTCCGACAGCGTCGAGACCTTGCGCGCGGCAAGAGTGAGTCTATGCGCGCGAATGGAAGACAAGGCGGCAACCAGACTCAAGAGCCGGAGAGGGCGTCGTTGTGTCTCCCGAGGGAAGGTCACGTCAAGACTTTTGAGTACGAATCATGGACAACCCTCTGACAGGTCCTAGGTTAGGGGATGGCCTAAATCCCTGACACATCAGCAGTCACGTCGTTGTACCGTCTCGAAGTCCACCCACTCACCCACCACCATGTAGCCTATAAATATGGCATTTACTCTGGTGGGTGAGGGGATCGCATTTTTGCACCATTCTCTCTCCATAGCAACTACTTCTCTTTCTAAAAGTTCGAACCTTGATTCCTCACTCGACTCGTCAGTTCTTATTCCTTCAATTAAACCTGATCCTAGCGTTCCTTCTTGACCCGAACTCTCACACGAACCTCACTCCTACACTCAGTTAGGTTCAAACAATTGGCGCCCACCGTGGGGCCAAGAAGAAACGCTGAAGAAAATCCACCAATGGCAGAACACAACCACGACCAACCTGACCAAGCGACGCCGATCAAGGCAATGACTGACCCGAGGGCGTTCGCGGAAGCCAGCAACCTCAACGCCGTGCTCATAGAAGAAGAGGAGCCCGAGCTGACGGCCAAGGAAATGAGGGAGCTGTTGAGGAAACAAAACAACGTCATAGCCGACATGCAAAAACAAATGAGCCAAGTCATCACGCTCATGATGAGCAGGGAAAGCGCGCTAACGACAGGCGCGACAGCGCCCGCGTCCCAACAAGCCTTGGTTGACGCGCCTCAACAAGCCTTGGTGGACGCACCTCAACAGGCCTTAGGAGAAACATCGGGGACAGCTCAACTCCCCCAACACACGCCAACAGAACTTCCCGCGGGTGAAGCGCCGGGGATCGATCTATCGGGGCGGACAGACCTCAGCTTCTTAGAGCAACACCTATCTCCCCAATATCGACCCATCCCGCCTAAAAGGATCCTTCACCAGCCATTGAGCGCACAAATAATGGCGGAGAACATAACCGGAGCGCCGCCCATCCTCCCGACATACAACGGCACAACGGATCCGGAAGACCATGTAAGCACCTTCTGCTTGCGTATGCAACTCCAAACCAACTCCAACGCCGCCCTGTGCAGAACCTTCCCGTCGACGTTCGCCGGCATATGCCTCGATTGGTACAACCGCCTCCCAAACGGGATCATCCGCTCGTTCGAAGAGTTCATACTCCTGTTCACCACGAAGTTCGCGTCCCAGAAACGACGCCCCCTTCACCTCAAGGCCCTGATAGATATCAGGCAAAAGGATGGAGAAAGCCTGAGGGCCTTCTACGCCAGATGGTCCAGGATTGCGATGGCTGTCCGCGACCTCACCCCCGAAACTGCCGCCCATCACCTCATGGAGGCCACCAACAATATGGAGCTTAAGCGGGCGTTAGCAAAAAGGCCCGTCACGCTGTCCACAGAATTGGAAATGAAGATCGAAAAGGCAATCACGTTGGAAGAAACCTTGGGATCAGGGTCCGTCAGGCGCTTCGAACCAACAAAAATGCCACGAGAAGAACAGGCGCGCCGCCAGGCTCCAGCTCCAGTCACCCGCGACCAACTGCTGCAGATGCACAGTGGCCCAAAGCGCGTTCCTCCTCCTCCCCCACCGGAACAGGCGCAGCGCGGTCGATCACCCGACAGGCGTGGCGCGCCCAACGCCTACACCCCCCTAAATGACTCCGTGAGGAATGTGTTTCACGTCCTTCGCGAGAAAGGCTACAAGCTCAATTGGCCTGCCCCGTTGAAATCCCAACCCCACATGCGCAACCCACATACGCATTGTGAATTCCACAGAGCAACGGGGCACCGGACGGAAGAATGCAGAGAGCTGAGGTATGAAATAGAGGGCCTCGTACGGCGAGGGTTGCTAACCGAGTTTGTTCACGTAAAGAAAGAGCAAGCTGAGGCACCACTACACCCGCCGCCGCCACCACCGCAAACCGACTATGATGAAGACACAGGCGCGTATGTAGTGCGCAAAGAGATCGGGGTGGTGACAGTTGAAGGAGACCGTCCCCAGAAGAAAACCAAACGTGAGCGTGCAGCAGAGTGCGCTGCCGTCAACGCGCCAACGAAGTTCAATCTGAGCTTCGACGACGCGGAGTTCCCACAAGGAGTCCCATCCGAGGAACCACTCATTATCACCGCGCTAATCGCCGCCTGTAAGACCCACCGCCTCTTGATAGATGGAGGCAGCGCGGCCGACATCCTCTTCCAGAGCACCATTGACAAAATGGACATTGACCCGCGCCTAATCAGGCGCGCGCAAGGTAACCTGGTCGGTTTCTCCGGAACCAAAGTCCCGGTAATTGGAGTGGTCACCCTCCCTGTGGTGATCGGCGACCAGGAACCACGCGTCTCCAAACAGGTAGAGTTCACAATCGTCAATTGTGAATCAGCACACAATGGCATCCTTGGCCGGCCTTTCCTTGCGAAGTTCATGGCCCTCCCGTCGACGTGCCACCAGAAGCTCAAGTTCCCGACACAGAGAGGAGTTGGAGAAGCGCGAGGGACGACATGG